TATCAAATTAACATCATCCGATTATAACATAAAATTTCGTCTCATTATAATGAACTTTACATCATTATTCAAAAATTTATATCGAACAAAACCAAATATCTTTAAAACCCTATAATACCCGTCTTATTAAACAAGACACATATTCAATTATTATAAAAATAATTATTTTTCGTAAATATTCAAATTTATAAGCAAATGTAAATAATGCAATCACAACACCAAGTAGGATGACGGAATATTTTAAGTTAAATTCTTTGTCGGATAACGAGTGATTCCTTAGCCTCATTTATGAAGTTTGATTTTGAGTTCTAGTGTTTTAAAAAGTTTTAAGCCAATTGAAGAGATTACTATAAGAGTAAATATAAAATTGGTAAGATCTTTTTATTCTTTTACGATTTGGTTTTGGGTTGATAAATTTGTCATTAAGAAATAATGAGACACAACTAAAATCCCGTATTAATACCGATGATCAGAGGAATTATAGTCATTCCTTAGGACCTTAATCTGTCTGCGGGTGGTGGATCAAGATGGTTAGGTATAAGTGGCTGTTAAACATTTATTGATGGCATTATTTATTAAAATGTGGCCTTGATATCTCTTGATTATATAAACAATTCAGCTCTTATCTGCCTTTCTACTGAAGTATCATCTGGAATCCAGGCCCCAGTATGAGATATTTTATAATTAAATATAAACTTTGTATGTGTAGTTTCTATCCTAATTCAAATATCTTTACCTCTATACCTAACAGGTCAATTCAAATAATAACCACAAGAATGTAAAAATTTGAATTCAAATTATATTCTGTCAAGAGATAAAAGAAAATATGACTAGGATCGAAGATTTGAATAAAGATAATTCTTTAAATTTTAAATAAATTCCCCAATTTAAATTTTTTATTTATTAAATATAAACAGCCGTCCCATCCTCTGGCATAGTTGAACCTATGCTGAGCACGAAGAGCTCTTGTTTATCTGATCAAAATTGTTAAAAAAAATAAATAAATTATCACGAGAAAAACTTTTCTTATAATATGTTATTTTTGTATAATTTTATTTTAATATCTCGGTAAAAAGGGGAAATTTTTTATATCATATAGTATTAGTTTTAGCGATTAACGCATAGCTTTAAATGGCCTGTAACGATTGGTCTTTTTTCCCAAACGTAACAAGTAATGCGTTTCTTTATTGAAGTAGCGTTTGCAGCATTACATTTTATTTTACTATCATTTTGCACAAAGTGTATAATTATTTTAAAATATGCCTAACGAATATCAAATTTTTAGTTGAGGAAGAACATATAATTATTTTTAAAAAAATTTAGTACACTAAAATAGTTTTTATTGTATTATGAATGAAACTTGATTTAAATCAAATATATCATGATTTAATCAAAAAGGCCCTTGAAAATCTTGTGAATTTATTTTTGACATGAATTTGAAAATTTAGTCCCAGTAAAACATTATTAAGCCCCAATTTTTTAAATATTAAATATGTAGTATATTTTATATTCCAGTGCAATTATTTATTTCTTTAAAATGTATTTTCAATATTTGTATCTGTAACGTACCCCTATAGTTTTTTCCAATTTTTATAATGGTGCCGTTTAATATGTAATACCAATTATAAAATGCAAAATTAATAAACCCAGATTGAAGGTAATTATTATGAGATGTTGGAATTTATATATAAAAAATGCCTTGTTATATTTTAGCATAGTGTATTATCATAATTTATTGAGTAGATTATATTATAATTGTTATCTTAAGTGTGTATTTGAAAAGTAACTAAACATAATCTTGGCTTACAAATAATATTCGATTTCACTGCTTTTTATATACGATCCTTTAATAACTTTGTGGAATCAAAATGATATAAGCATTAAATATTACGATTTATCAATTAATAAGTTTCAATTTTCTCTTATTTTTTTTATCGGATTATAAGATCTAATCATATTCCTAAATGATGTTGATTCGGGAGGACAATTGATTTTCATGGTTTCTTAAATTTTATTTAAATAATAATAAATCATGTTTCAAATTGTTAGTCTGAAATTATAAGAACGTCAAATCATACCTCTAAATTATGTTGATTATATATATCTTCTAATTCAAAGGAAACAAATTATATACACAGTGTTTGAATCTAAATACATTTTTATTTAAAATATGATTTTTACATATTTAACCATTTTTTATATAAATGCTGATCGGGAAATAGATTTTCTTTAATTTTACGGCAATTGAGGTTTGCCTATATAAATAAATCGTTTTTTAATTAAATTCGCTATCTTACTTTTTTTTTATTAGACAAAAACAATTAGATTTGGTAAAATCTAACCTATATTTACGGCAACTAAACAGTCAATAAGTTTCTGTTAGTTTTTTTTTAACTAACTTCGCGATTCAGGCTAAGGCCTGATATCAAGCTTGTAGACCCCGTTAGCGATTAGTTTATAGCTATCCAAGGGTAATTCCATACCAAATCAATAACATGTTAACCCGAGCTTTTTAATTTTGATAAAATTTTGCATTATGAAGGATTACATGGAATCCAAATGCCAAAAATGACCTTTTCAAGTTAAAAAAATAATGATGGTAAAAATACAAATTGTCATTTTGTAACTATAAGCCTTTTTGCAAATATTAACCTTTTTAATTACGCTATAGATTTTGAACCTGAAAGCTCCAAGGTTCGCCTTCCTATTTTCTTTGTGAATTTAAAATTTTATTATTCACTAAATAATATATTCCTATTTGCAAAATCAACTATACCCACTACATTCGGTAAAATCTAACAAAAACGAAATAATATTTGTAACTTAAAAACATAAATTAAAAACTGACAAAATTTATTTAAAAATTGAAATCAAGTATAAAACTAAAACTATGAGTGAATAATGATTATTATAGTGTTCAATTAAATGATATTCTAATAGTTCTATTACTATTTTAACTAATAATAGTATTATTGTTAATAAATAATATTCAAATTTAATTAATAAATTGCAATTTTTAATATTTATTTAACTGATTGTGAAGTTCTGAAAACTTTTTTATGGAAAGGGGATTGACTAATTGCATATTTATGTTCAAGATCCCATTTAGAATCTCCGTAAAAGATGGACAGTAACAATTGAAATAAGACTATGTATTTATTGATATACTGATAGTCTGTTTATTTTATATTGAAGCCTGAAAAATGTTATTATTGTATATGCATAGTAAAATTTTTCCTAAATTCAATTTCTTTTTTTCCATTTTACCCCCGGCAAATATATATTCCTAGCTAACTGGCTACTATATAAATTTTAACAACACTAATTGATATGGAAGAAATATTTCTGAATTATTTAAAATTTTAACATATCGAAAATATTATATGTGACAAAAAAAAATTAGGCAAATACTCAAATGTTTAAATTCTAATTATTTTAAAAACTATATTGAAACATCTTAATTGAATGAAATCTCGAATAGCGAATAAATCCTTTATTTCTAAATTTTATTCCATTATCTATCAATAGACTGATTCTATTTTTATTTGATGTAAGTCTAGACTTTATTAACTTTTTGCTAATAGGATGATTCAGACCCAGAGTCTTCAGGAGAAATTTTTCGGAGTCACAGTATGCCTAGATTTCCTCCCATTAAATATTTTTTACTCCTTATCCACCCTAAGAATTGTAGAATATATATTGCAAATAGTTCCTACTATCCGATCCCACCCCACCTATAGCTGACAGGCTAAATGAAACTTCTAAGAAAATATAAAATAGTCTTTTAAAAAGATATGCCAAAATAATATTTAAGCATAAGTAAATCAATACACAAGTCAGTCATTGAGATCTGAGATCCATTACGATCGAAATTTCAATTTTAAATGGTTTAATGCATTTAAAAAAAATCTGATTTGACCTAAAATTTGTTCCACTCTGATTTTAAAAATTTTCTACGAAATCCCAATGGCTTCCATTCTCAATACGACATATATATTCGAGATATTTACTAAGTCATATCAATAAAGAATACTAACAAATCTTTTTAATAATAAAATCTATATCCAAAAAATTCACTAGAGAATGTTGGGTAAACTTATCATTTTATATTTAAATATGTTTTGACAAAGACTTTCTACCTCTTACACTACCCTTTTACCGCTTCCATCGAATCATCTTCCTATTTCCAATCACAAGTATTATCATTTCATGCGTCTTCCCTCTACGATTTTTTAAAATATAACTTTGAAATCCTGCTAGTCAGCTTTTAAAGTTTGTTTAAAAAATGTTTTTCTTGTTGAAAATAAACTTGTCTCCTTGCCAAAAATAATTAGCAAGTTGAATAATTAATGTTCAATTTTACTAAATTGGTGCGAAATGGTTAAATAAAATAGTATTGATCCAAGTCTCTCATTTAAGTGAATAGAAATAATTTTATATGTATTTAAACAAGTCTACGTTCATCTATAATATATAAAAGCTTTGGCACACTGTCACAGTCACACTTTCACAATTTTTAATTAAAAAATCGTTAATTTTGAAAAGTGCTTGTGGCCCAATCGGCAAGAGCGTCGCTATTTGATGGATTTAGGTTCGAATCCCAACAAAGGTTTTTTTTCTTCTTAATCTGGCAAAATGATTTTTTTTTCTTAGACTAAAAAAAATAATCAAATAGAAGATACCATTCATAGTGTGATGCTACTTTAAAATTCTAACTATTAAATAGGTATTCTGATATTTTTATATTTTTTTTAAAAATCACCACAGAATCATATTAAACATCTTCCCTTACCATAAAATCAATAAGAACTAACTGATACATCATCATATATATTTTAGAACTATCAACTGAACTGATATATTATAGATATTCTTACACAATCTTATATTAATATTACACTACAATTTTACATAATTTATATATAGTTTTTTTTAAGGATATTTCTAAAGCTATGGAAATTAGATTTTTAAATATAATTCCTATTTTATTATATTTTTAGATTCCTGTACAAGATACCGTTCGACAAAAAGATACTGAAAATCACCAATCAAATCGTAGTAGTACTGAAAATCAAGATCAATGTAATATTGCTTCAAAATACCTAATAGTAAATATTATCATCTCTTTATTTTTTTATTATATAAACTGGTTACAAGTCTGTCCTGATAAAAAAAATCAAGACCTAAATTAATTTCTTATTTTGATTATATTTTTAAATGCTTCATAATTTTTTTCTGAAAAACCATTTCATTGAAAATTTAAAAATTGTTGCCAAGGAGGTCCTGTTTTATTGTTTTCTCTACATTTTATATAATTAATACAGTTTTTTAAGTATATCTTGTAAGCAATAGATTTATTATAACATACAACAGTTCCTTGGATTTTTCTTCTATTGGGGGTTTAAAATGATAATTTACAAAATTGAGTTATGCCTAACTTTTTAGTGTATATAAGTTAAAATTCAAATTATTCAATAGGTATATATTTTTAAATTTTAATAACATATCAGCATAAGGAGAAAGCCAGACGGAGACAGCAACTTTATCGAAGCAAGAAAAGACAAGAGCAAAGTCTTATTGCATCAATATCAAAGTTGTGTAGTACTGAAAATCAAGATCAATGTAATATTGCTTCAACATCCTTAACAGTAAATTTTATTATCTCTTTACTTTTTATTATATAAACTGGTTACAAGTCTGTCTTGATAAAAAAAACTAAGACCTAAATTAATTTCTTATTTTCAATATATTTTTTTATGCTATTATTTTTTTCTGAAAAATCATTTCATATAAAGTTTAAAAATTGTTGCCATGTAGGTCCTGTTTTATTGTCTTCTCTACATTTTACATAAATAATACATATATATTAAATTAATTTTTTTTATTATATAAACATTACCATCTTACACATCTAGAATTGACTGATGATTTATAGATATTCTTACTATTTAATAGGTATATATTTTTAAATTTTAACATATCAGCATAAGGAGAAAGCCAGACGGAGACAGCAACTTTGTCGAAGCAGGAAAAAACAAGAGCAAAGTCTTATTGCATCGATATCAAAGTTGTGTAGTACTGAAAATCAAGATCAATGTAATATTGCTTCAACATCCTTAACAGTAAATTTTATATACTCTTTATTTTTAATTATATAAATTGGTTATACACTTAGTTTTAATAAATTGAACCTGGCCTGAAGGGAGGTGGGGGGAGGGGGGTATAAAGAATAAAAATTGGATATTCTCAAATATCAGGAAACAACTATCATAAAAGTAAAGAAAGAATTCTCATACCCCATCATTTTTTGACGGACTATCTACTGGGTGTTATAATAATATCAAAAAATTTAGTTTTGCTTTAAAAATATTATTTAATAATTTGAAAATAAAATATTTAGTACGTGTATTTATAAAAATAGCTCAGTCAAGTAGTGTTGTTAAATCGTTTTAAAAACGGCTAACTCAACAATATAAATATTGCATCTAGAAATTTCGCCAGTGGATGTTCAATCTTATGAGCAAAATCTTTAGGCTTGCATAATAATTTTTTGGATAAAATATTGAGTTAGCCGTTTTTAAAAATCGGTTCAAATTGACCGGTTTTTAATAACACTACAGTTAAGGATTATAATGTTTAATATCCGCTTTTTCTTTTATTTCTCATTTTTATTTATATCATAATGTTCCATAGAACTAGTGTTGTTAAACGGCTCAATTTAAGCTGATTTTTAAAAACGGCTACCTCAATATTTTATCCAGAAAAATATTATGAAAGACTAGAGATTTTGCTCATAGATGGCACATAGTATTGAACATCTATTGGCGAAATCTCGACGCTTAGACAATATTTTCCTGGCTATAATTTTGAGTTAGCCGTTTTTAAAAATCGGCTCAAATCGAGTCGTTTAACAACACTACATAGAACTCAAAACAAAGGAAAAAATATAATCAAGATAACAAAGAAATGTATATAAACAAAACTTTTAGCAACGAATCATTTAGTCTACTACTATCTAAGCAACCTAGTTTTTTTTTATTTTTATTAACCGAATCAATAAAACGATCTCAATTATTAGCCTTTCTGAGTAAAATACGTGATAAGCATTTTTTTTTAAAAATAATTTGTTTTCCTTTTTCAAACAGAAAATTACAATTTTTTTTATTAAATAAATAAAATAGGCAATTTTATTTTTAATTCAATGTTTATTTTTGTAAGATAATAAAAAAAAAATATCGCCATATTTATGTATTAGGAACAATTGTTATTTTCCTCCCCGAAATGTATATTTTTTATAATATTAAAAATATTTATCTAGTTTGATAATTTTTTTAAATTAATGCTTTTCTTGCTTACGTTGTTTCCCGATCCACAATTTGTTTTCATATAAATCTATTTAGCATATTTTATTTAAATGATAAACTCATCCCCTTCTCCTTAGATCTTTGATTCACCTATAATCACGATATTTTTTTAAATGGGCGATTTTCTACTCATGTTTATTTAGAAATGAGCATTTTTAACCGCATAGAAAAGTTTATTCATTATTCAATTATAATAACACAATTAGATATTTTGGGTAGTAGTAAGATATAAAATAAAATCGGATTGCCAGCTTGTGATTTATTTTATTTTACTTATAAATAGTATTTACACAAACATTAATACTTTTAATGATTAATTTATACATCTATTAGGTCGTACAAACTTGCTAGAACAAAAATATACAATGCTTTGTGACCCAAAAACATAATTAGCTATCGCGAAACTTGACAGACTCCTCCTAAACGCAGAAAATTTGGAAAGTTGTTATTGGATAAAAGATACTCGATTCAAACAATAAAATCTATGCAGGTTTAAAAAAAAATAATTAAAAAAAAGAAAAACTAATAAAATTATTCTTTTTTATTTTATAGATCATGCTTTTCCTATTAACATGGTTGCCGGTTCAAGAATTAATTAATGGATGGACAGAGAGTGAGGTAGATAAATTAATAAATAAATTTGATGGAGAAAGGGAATAATGATAGTATAAGATCTGCCCTGTGTGCTTTATCTAAGGAGACCAGCATCTATTGTGACATTCTTGAGGAATGTATCCATCATATTAGCAGTTTTTGTTGAGCTTGAAAGTTCGAAAGCTTGCTTTAATACTCTTGACACACTTTGACATCATCTTCTTCTTTAGCTTGACGTAGATTTTACTCTCAACATTTTCCAGGTCTGCAGCTCTAACCGCCATCGGGTCGTTAACCACACCCATAACACTTGGTGTTGCTAATTTCCTACCAATGAATTGCATTGCCAAGTGGTTCAAACTTTGCTTATGCCTAAGAGAAGTACAGAGATTTTTAATCTTAGATTACATAGAGCTGGTAGCGCTGTTCTTTGCTCCCCGTAGCTTAGGTGGCTATGGTTTTCCCCATTTCATAGCGTTTGTTACTAAGGAGAGACTTGACCCAATTACGATGTACTTAGGCATTTCGCATTCATAGTTATCGATCGCGCGATTTGATACGCGAAAGCAAATTGCCGCGATTTTTTCAAAACACAAATCATTTTGTGTTTATCGCAAGATTTTGAAATAGTGCTTCGTTAAATACAGATTTTGGTGAATATAGTTCAAAATTTTTGATTTTGCACTACTTTTAAATTTATAATTTTTTTATTAAATGAAATGAATTTAAAGACAACCTTTTTTGATAATATAAAACCAAAGGATCAAGTTAAAATTATGATTTAAATTTAATTTTTTTTAGAAAATAGCTTTTATTCTTTCTCTTAAAGAGTACGAATGTTTATATAATAAGCATAATCATTTGTATAAAAATATTATATACAAGAATAAGATCTGGGAATTATTAGCCAAGCAGTATAATATGACTGCTAATAATTTTGCATACATATTATATTTATAAATTTTTTTAGGTTTATCTCTCTGGAAAAATCTGAGATTGTTTTATAAAAGAGAAGCAAAAGCTAAAAAGACCGAAAAGTGGGTCAGAGGGTGGCCATCACACCTCATGGCCATTCTATCAGGATATGCTATTTCTGGTAGAAACCTTAACACCTAGATCACAGAAATCCTTATAGAGGAATGTACTACTAAAGATGTAAATGATATATTTAATGAAATAACGAGGTATATAAAAATGTAAAATATAGCATTTCAATTGATAAAATATATTTATTATTTAGGTGATCTCATTGATAGTGAGAATATATCAGATGATATATTTATTCCAAAGATTCTGCAGCACTAAATCTTAGTAATGATTCTGGTAATTAATAATATCTAAAAATTTATATTATCTTTTATATAGAATCTATGTCCTGTGTTGGGTCACCTAATTATTATTATAAATGTCCTATGAGAAAGAACAATGATATGGGTAATTTATATTTTTTGATTTATTGATAAATTTTAAATAGATGACTATAGGAAATTAATGAAAATAGAAGCAGATAAAGCATTAATAACCTTGGAAATGCTTAAAAATAAATCAACAGAACATGCAATATGTTTAATGTTAAAAGAAAAATTAGATGATTGTACTAAAGAGGAAAAAAAAGAAATAACAAATAAAATACTTGACATTATAAAAGATTATTGATTAAAATTATTTTGTATATATTTTTGTTATTTGAAATATATATTTTGTATATATTTATATTATTTGAAATAAACATTTTGTGAAATACATTGAATGATATAATTATTCCCAAAAGTCTTGCATTAGTGTACTGAGTTTGGTAATTAATAATCTAAATATATATTATTTATAATGAATGATCTTTACCTTAGAGAAAGTTTAATGACATTGGTAATTTATGTTAACTTGCTTTATAAAAATATTTTCAATAGATGAATTTAGAACAACTATATAACTTTTTTAGTGACATATTCCTACATAATATTTTATGAGTTTAGATTATATTAATAATAACTTTATTTTTATTATAATATATATATATAAAATACAAAACAAGATATTTATAAAAATTAGATGATTGTACCAATCAGGAAAAAAAGAAATAACTAGAATACTTGATATTATAAAAGATTATTGATTAAAATTATTTTGAATATATTTTTGTTATTTGAAACTATATTAATAATAACTATTTTTATTATAATATATATAAAATACAAAACAAGATATTTATCTAACATCAAAATAAGATATGATTAAATTTATAAAAATCTATAATATAAGATTTTTATATAAATATAAGCATAATCATGGAATGAATCAGAATTACTATATGAATCTTATGTTGCTAAATACCTAAATAAAAAATATATTTAAATAATAAATTGCTTTATTTTTACCTTAAACAAACCATAAGCTTTTCTTCAACACTTATAGGATGTTTTATAAAATAGGTACATTTGATGTAATAAAGGGCTTACAAGTTTGAGTATATAATAAAAGGTTTCCTAAATTAAAATGAATTATAGATAAACTATCATTCTCATATAGTTGAAAAATTTAGGCTCGTTTTTTAATAGTTTAGGAAAGAGGATGCCCTCAAGAATAATGTGAGCACATTAAGAATGATATAGAAGTTGCACAAATTATGTGACTATTGCTGTTAGGTTAAGAGACAAATATCACAAGATGGCTGGCTACAACATAGTAAGTGCAACTTTTCCAGACCCCGGCATGACAAGCAGCAAAAGGAGTGTTCGGGTTGACAGCATACTGTTTAACTCCTTATTATTCGTATTCTTTGCCATTATCTTCCTTTAGTGCTAGGCTTAATAGCTTGCTCCCTTGCCCCCTTCAGAAAAGATGATCCTCCTCCTCCCAGAGGTTGCCCAACTACGAATCCTCTACCATGACATCCAACCAGCCTCCAAGCTCATCATCATTGTCCAAAACTGCCACTAGATCCCTCCATTCCTCGGTTCCCATCACTCCTTGATTAGTTCCTATACGCTCGGCCGCCGCGATACCCTCTCCACTCGTTATATCGTTTGTGGCCTCACTCTCGACTGTTAAATCAACTATGGGCCATATCCTTTGATCCACACTAGCTGTTCTTGGACGATGTTCACGCTGCTCCTCTTCTTCATCTCTCCTCGTTCCCGGAATTTCTGTGACGGGCCTCGAATCACCGCTTCCCTCTTCTTCATCTCTATTTGTTCTCGGAATTCCTGCGATGGGCTTCGATTCACCGCTTCTTACTTGCTCCGTCCGAGCCCCCGCAATCGCCGCTATCTGCCTCGCTGGTACCTACTCCACCCTTGCTCGAGCTCGTTGCAATCCCGTTTGATTACCATCTGCCCTTCTCTCCCATTTCCATGGGCATCTATACTGAATATGTCCGCGTTCCTGGCAGCGATAGCACACGTCTTCCATCCTCCATAGTTCGTCTTATCATTGCCCGTATGCTTCCCTGACCCCTGCCACCAGTCCTATGGGGCCGCACCATGAGTAGTACTTCATAATTCCCACAGATCCAACTCCTACACAAACCTGGAGCATTATTCTGATCCATTTTGATTACCCACCTAAATATATTCTATACTATATAATACCTACAAAATATGGCATGGAATTTTACGCTGCAAACTACCGACCTCTTGATGGTGCTGATGCGGGTAGGTTCCAATCTGCTTTCAGACATTGTTGGCTAGCTAAAGCTATGGGAGAAGTGGCTGAGACTCTTGCTAAGATGATGAAAGCTTCTCTAGCTATCTTACAAAATTGTATGCACAAAAAGCATGAGAAGCTTAACTTAGGTATGCAAAAGTGGTTGAAGAAATTAGAAGCACAACTGTGCAAAGGCCGATTAGAAATTAGCTGGCATGCTGCACTCAGGAAGAGTGGAGCACTTGAAAGAGAACAGATCAACCTTGCTTACATGTATACGTATTTTGTAAGTATAGAATATATTTAGGTGGGTAATCAAAATGGATCAGAATAATGCTCCGGGTGTGCGTAGAAGTTGGATCTGTGGGAATTATGAAGTACTACTCATGGTGCGGCCCCATAGGACTGGCGGCAGGAGTCGGTGAATGATAGGACGAACTATGGAGGACGAAAGACGGTGCTATCGCTGCCAGGAACGCGGACATATTCAATATAGATGCCCATGGAATTGGGAGAGAAGGGCGGATGGTAATCGGACGGGATTGCAGCGAGCTCAAGCAAGGGTGGAGGAGGTACCAGCGAGGCAGATAGCGGGGATTGTGGGGGCTCGGACGGAGCAAGTAAGAAGCGGTGAATCGAAGCCCGTTGCAGGAATTCCAAGAACAAGGAGAGATGAAGAAGAGGGAAGCGGTGAATCGAGGCCCGTCACAGAAATTCCGGGAACGAGGAGAGATGAAGAGGAGCAGCGTGAACATCGTCCAAGAACAGCTAGCGTGGATCGAAGGATATGGCCCATAGTTGATTTAACAGTCAAGAGTGAGGCCACAAATGATATTACGGTGGGAAACGATATAACGAGGGGAGAGGGTATCGCGGCTGCCGAACGTATAGTAACTAATCAAGGAGTGATGGGAATCGAAGAATGGAGAGATCTAGTGGCAGTTTTGGGCGATGTTGATGAGCTTGGAGGCTGGTTGGATGTCATGGTAGAGGATTCGGAGTGGGGCAACCTCTGGGAGGAGGAGGCGGAGGATCATCTTTTCTGAAGGAGGCAAGGGAGCAAATTAAGCCTAGCACTAAAGAAAGATAATGGCAAAGTATACGAATAATAAACAGTATGCTGTCAACCCGAACACTCCTTCTGCTGCTTGTCGTGCCAGGGTCCGGAAAAGTTGCATTTACTATGTTGTAGCTAGCCATCTTGTGATATTTGTCTCTTAACCTAACAGCAATAGTCACATAATTTGTGGAAAGGATATCCTCAACAACTTCTATATCATTCTTTAATGTGCTCACACCATTCTTAACAAACTGTTGGTTACCATACCGCAGCAAAGAAATCAAGTTCTTCCCGATGGAGAAAGGGAATAATGATAGTATAAGATCTGCCCTGTATGCTTTATCTACTAATCTTCTTACACATTGTTCAGGTAGTGTCTCGCTGAAAGCTGTAAGGAGACCAGCATCTATTGTGACATTCTTGAGGAATGTATCCATCATATTAGCAGTTTTTGTTGAGCTTGAAAGTTCGAAAGCTTGCTTTAATACTCTTGACACACTTTGACATCATCTTTAGCTTGACGTAGATTTTACTCTCAACATTTTCCAGGTCTGCAGCTCTAACCGCCATCGGGTCATTAACCACACCCATAACACTTGGTGTTGCTAATTTCCTACCAATGAATTGCATTGCCAAGTGGTTCAAACTTTGCTTATGCCTAAGAGAAGTACAGAGATTCTTAATCTTATGGATAATGCCTAAGTACATCGTAATTGGGTCAAGTCTCTCCTTAGTAACAAACGCTATGAAATGGGGAAAACCATAGCCACATAAACTACGGGGAGCAAAGAACAGCGCTACCAGCTCTATGTAATCTAGGTCACGTCCCCAAGCAGATGTCTGTGTAATAAGGTCAATGGATCTGAATGTTGCATAGTAGTAACTAAGGACTGGATCGGAATCTCTTTCAGATGATGTTCTAGCAGCACCGAAGACGGATTTGTTGTGTTAATGTAGACAGCCTTTTAGTATAATCTCGATCTATTTTGGAAAAGGTTTTCATATCGCATAACACCTCACTCCCTTGACAGAAGAATCTGTTAAGATATATGAACTTGATAGAGGAGTATATTGTCTTTGCATCATTGAGATCTACACCCAGTTCTCCCCATGCTCGCTTAGTAGTTGCATAATGCTCATCTGCAGCTCGTTGTGCATACTCCTCTGATGTACCAACTGGGAATTTTATGCCCTGAACAGCATCATCGATCAATCCAGCAGTATCGGCCCTTGCACTTGCTTACCAACCCTCACACAATAAGTACTGATGTCCACATTAAATATAGAGTCTGCTGTACCAGTCCATCCTTGAAACAATCCATCCTTAAGAGGAGCATGTGCTAGGACACCCCTCTTTGCAATACATGCTTCAATGTTCTTCAGGATAAGTTCACCTATATCATGACAAAGATGGAACAGAGAATATAATATCTACAAATTATAATTTTTATTTTGACAAAAAGATATGAAATCAGGGAGTTTACAAATATCGCCCGAATATTTTTTTAAATATATAAATGTATAATTTGAATAAAAAATCATTAATAAAATGTGCGTTATGTTTCTTCGGCTAATTTTGCCAGATAGTGTTCTATTTGGTTCTCGTTCAAAATCCTAAAAATAATGTACGTTATTATTATTATTATTATATAATAAATATTAGGATAGGAAATAGTTTAGTTAAATGACTCAACGACTAGCCCAATATTTTTTAGCCAAGTCTAGATATTTTCCGCATCGATGGCAGAAATATATTAAAGAAATCTCTGAACTTGCATAATATTTTCCTAGTGTTAAATACCTCTTTGACCATCTCTATTGTGGATTAGTCAAGCTTTTAGCCAATCGAATCAAGCCTCTAATTTGAGTCTCAACTCGAAGATTGATTCAAATGTTTGGTTAAAAATATGGCTACGCGGTTATACAGCTGACCAAAATTAGGTAGTTTAACATCATTATATTTTGCTTAAAAATATTAATTTAGATTGGCCAAATCGAAACGTTCGTTTATCAACACTAGGAGGAAAACGAGATAGAATTTGAGAGAAAAAAAAAACCCATAAAATTACTTAAAAACTGGTTCATCCCTAGTCACTACACCTATTTCGAGATCCGAGGATTTAAAATCGGCCGAGAGAACGGTTCCCATGGCAGATATTGCGAGCTATAATTATGTATCGGTAAAATAAAATGTATCGTACGATTTTTGTGTTTTCAAGTAGGAATATTTTTGCTAATTTATTTATTATTTCTTCGTTTTAGATAAGGGTTTTTGATTTACAACTAAATTTAGGGGGCTAAATGATGAAATCATCAAAACCGTCCATCCCGTTTTCTGCGTGAAGATAAAAACTTGATTTTTAAAAATATTTTATTTTCGTAGACATTTAAAAATGCTAACCAGGGAAGGGTAATTAGGTAAAAAGGACAAACTTTAATGCATTGGTCCATGGATAGGCCTTCCTCTTTCTTGAACTTTTTTTCCAGGAAACTAAACATTTCGGTTTGTTTGGAGCCGACAGCGACTGCCCGAAACCCGCAACAATATCCGGCGGGGTCGGTTTTATAAACTTGAGGTCCGTTTTCGTCATCGTAGGATATTAAGATCATTACTTGATATTAAGAGGTTTTAAAAAAAAAAGAATATTGTAAAAACGTAATTCAGATGATAAATAAGATATAAGAAAAATATAATTTTTTAAATAATACATTTTACTAAAAATGAGAGATTGTGCGCTAACAACAAGGAACCAATTCATAATTCTTGGGATCAAAACTAGAAGGGGAAAAACAAATCCTCAAAGGATCAAACGAACTTCTTTAAAAATTTCGAATCAATGTAAACTAAACTATTATTTACATTTAAAATTAACACGAAATATAAATTCATATAGAATTAACATTTAAAAAAAAAATTAAGTAAACAATTTATATAAAAAAAAATAAAAATAAGCTTTTATTAAAAAATATGGGAGGGGGGGGGCAAAAAGGACTCACTGAGATCCGAGAAAGCTAAGATAGTTGCCTCGAAACACAGAGATTTAAGTTGATTGTAATATTTTAAAAGAGGAATTTGAATTTTTTTTTAAAAAATGATAGCCTAGAGGGCTTAGGTAACCATTGGTAGAAATAACTAGGGATGTACCGATATTTTTTATCGGATCGGACCGGGCCGATATTTCGCCCATTTTTAAATATCGGTTATCGGCCAATACTAAAAAAATTCCGATCCAATCCGATAAAAAATGGCGTTTTTGAAAAAAACCCATTTATTTTTATAAAAAAATGGAAATCCATTTTTATGTTTATTTTTTTAATAATAATTAATTAAACATTTTGCCATATTGTTATTTTTTTTTCTCATTCTGTGGTTAAAGATAAGGAGAAATCTAATAACATTACCGGTGTAAATTGTCCTTATTCCCTTGAGATTGAAAACTATCTCAATGAACCAGTTTTCAAAGCACTAAATGATAATACCCCTGCGGATCCATTGAAATATTGGGCTGTGAATTGCCAAAAATATCCAACCCTATCTAAACTTGCTCGTCAATATCTAGCAACACCTGCCACAAGTATCTCATCTGAATCTGTTTTTAGTGAAGCTGGTGATATTGACAGTCCCCATCGCCGCAGACTGACCTCAGATAAATTAGAAATTTTGGTATTTCTAAAAAGAAATCTTAGATATATTAATTTTAAATATTAATATCATAATATATGTGTTTATTACTTATTTTATTTTGTAAATATATTAATGTTATTACTTTTTATATAAATATGTGATTTATCAATAAAAATATTTTATATACTTATTGAATTGAATATAAGCTTAAGCTATAATAACTGACCATTATAATATATTTAAATGACATATGTCATGGCATAGTTAAATTATAGATGTTATACTAATAAAAAGTTATTAAAAATTAAAACCATTGGTATCTTTATAGAATACAAAATTAGATATGATATCGGATCGGTTATCGGCCAAAATCAATTTAATATTGGGAATATCGGATTGGATCGGCCTTCAAAAAGTGGTATCGGTACACCCCTAATTTTGATCGTGACAATTAACTTCCGAGGAATAAAAAAATAAATAAACATAATTATTTGTGATTTCATTAGCGATCTTCAAATTGATTTTTCTTGGCCAATCCTATTCAAGATTAGAGCCTGCAAAATAATCTTTTCGTAACCCGTTTTCCAAGCTAAAAAAAATTGTATTGCGAGCATATCTAAGAAAACTGCAATTTGATAAATATAATCTGAGGCTATTTAATTGAATAGATCTTCGATAAAACAAAATTTAACGTATAAAAAAATTTCATTTTCTTTCAACAAACTAATATTCTAGATTTTATGTAGGACTAAATGTAAAACATGATATATATATTTTTTAATTAACTTTATAGAATATCACGTATATCTAAATAATAAAATTAACTGATCACAATTTCAGGAAATTGTTAATTTGGGAGATGGAAAATTATGTAAATATTTAAGTAATGTGATTGATATAAAATAACATGTGATTCTGATTCACATTTCATGAAGCGAAATGATTATTGAAGATATTTTTAATATTTAAATTTTAGGATCCCGGCTGCCACTTACAGCACGTGATCCCCTTGGGTGTGGTTTTGAACAGCCCGTCCAGGGATCATTTCATGATAATGCAACTAATGCTGCCTTTCTCATGGGAAAAGTAAAATTTTATGCTATTTGCACAAAGTTTACACTTAATAATTTTCTAGCATGTAAAATATTGATTTTTTAGGACTGGTACAGAAAAATTAATCTAATTGGATAGGTATCAATAATTAGATAAGCTTTGTATGAATATCAGAAAATATTGGCAGATTAGTTAAAAATTAATGAATTGATACAGTCCCCATATCAAAATTTATTTGTATACTCTATATGACAATAAATATAATAATTATAAGTAAAATCAGAAAATAATATTATATAAGATTTCCTAAGATGTTTTTACCAGAGATCTACAAGCCCAAATTTAAAAAATAAAATTATATCAATTAATCAGTTGGAAAATTATTAAATGGAGCATTTAATATTCATCTACTGTTCATATTTTCAATAACATAACATTCTATACAAATCTTAGCTAGGCCTAAAATTTTGACATCTACAAGTCACTGATTTTTATTTTAAAATACCATGCTTAACATATTATAGAGATGAGCATGAAACAAGTCTGCCAACAATAAATTCCAATTACCATCTTATATATCAAGCTTTTACTTTACTAATATTTATATAGTATGCAATAATTCAAACATTTTTAATAAAAAAATATATATTACTGCATCCTAAAGGTCTCATTTCAGCATTTTGGGTATAAACTTGGGATATATCTGCTATTCTTTTAGCCAAAACATCAACGGGTATATCAAATCCATATTTATATTTCCAATCAGATGCTTCATATCTAGCTCTTTCTACCTGAGACTCACAATCAGCTATAATATCATATTTACTTTTTTTATACCAATAAGTGTAATTACCTGTTAATCCTGTCATGGCACATCCAATCTTATCTGTGATATAGAACAAATGAGTAATTGAGATTGGATCTATCATTTTATCCTAATATTAAAAAAATGAGCTTAAATCCAAAATTTTAATAAAACATACGGGAACTTTCTTCTGTGTCACAACGATTGAGCAATCTTTTCCACGCAAACCAATAGTATTGAGGTTACTTTGAGTAACGGCTTTAAATGCATACTCTTTAACACATTTGAATATATTAGTTTATATATATAACTTTAAATGTAACTTACCAACTTGATAAAGTCTACCCTCTGGAGAAAATATAGTTATATGCCGATCAAATCCTGCACTGGTACCTCGAGACATTCTTATTATATTGTGATAATATACCCACGAGGGCAGCTTTATATTATTATGTGCTTTATGTTACCTCGATTGAAAATAACTACAAAATATTTTTGATAAGAAAAATAGAAATTTGGTACTATGTTAGTTTGATTTTTTTTAAAAATTTGTAGAAGTGACAATTATCTATGCAATCAATGTTATTATTTGCTTTCTAACTCTTAAGATGCTCATGCACTCTTACATATCTGTTGATAATTTAGTCCTATAAATTAATGATTTTATATTCATTCCATTAACCTTTAACTATTATATATTACCAGGGCAGCCAACCTATTAGCCTAGGGGAGTAGACATTGATACTATCTTAAACATGGGAAAATGCTTACTTATTGATGGGTGCGTGTAAGAATATATATATGCCTGTCCTTGAGAGGAAGGGGAGATTAATTTTTGGTCCCAAATTTTGTCCCTAGTTATGGCCCCCACAAATGACCCCTAAAAATAATTTGACCAATAAATTTAGAACAATATTGGTTACTGAATTTTAACTCGCCATTAACAATGAATTTAAATACAAATGTAAAAATATAATTATTAAATTTTTTTTAGTTATTAAAATTTTATTCAGCCAGTACAGCAGTGGCGTAGGTATAGGGGGGAGGGGGGGGGTGGAGTTTGCGGGTTCAACCTCCCCCCCCCCCCATGAAAAATAAAAAAAAATATTTTTTTAAATTTTTTTTAAAATTTTTTTAATTTAATAAATTCTTAATAAACGCTTGATTTTTATTTTTTAAATTTATTATAAATAATAATAGATATACACATTTGATTATTTTTATATTTATTTTTGGTTTGCAGCTATTTCACACCACCCAAAAAAGCGGAGTTATTTATTCAAACGTATCATCATATTGACTCAAATAATCAAAAAAAAAACTAAAATAATTTTGTCCGACCAGATTCATCGAAAGACAAGAGTCGGTGAACTCTTTATTGAAATATATGATGTTGTCTTTGCAGCACAAGAATTTTATATATCAAGCAAGGAAAAAGATTTAGCAGATGCCGAAAATCTTTTGCAGGCTTTTATTAAGCCACAGTTTTTAATTTCAATTCAATGTGTTTATTTTTTATTTAATTATACATATGATTTTAGCAAAATGCTACAAAAAATTGATTTGGATTTAAGGGAAATTATGAATAGAGCAAAGGATATTGTTGAAATATTAACAAATATCAGAGAAAATGTGGATGAAAATTTCATGAAATATATGAAAAAGTAAAGGAGATTGTTAATATGTTTGGAATTGAAATTTTTAAACATAGAGTAGTCTCTAGACAATCCAATCGATCAAATATTGATGCATCTACGATTGAGGATTTTTAAAATAAACATTTTTATTCCCCTTATTGATACATTTTTATTTCAATTAAAAGAAAGATTTATTAGTCATAATTATATTTTAAAAAGCTTTTATTTTCTTTTGCCGGTTAAGTCTAAACTGTTGATTACACTTGAAACACGAGCGGATATTAAAAGAATCTCAGAGTTTTATGATGACGATTTAGTAGGTTCATATGATAAGTTACTTTGTGATGTCGAATTTTGGTATAAAAATCTTGACAGAATAGGGTATTCTTTAAGACCAATAAATGCTCTGCAGGCCCTCTCCACGTGTAATTGCATTTTAGATTCCCTGCCTAATATCAAAACATTATTAATTATTTTAGCTACCTTGCTAATTAGTACCTGCACTAATGAAAGGTCTTTTTCAACTTTAAAAAGGTTAAAAACCTATTTAAGAAACACAACCAGTGAAAAACGTTTAAATGGATTAGCCCTATTGAATATTTATAAGGAGATTATTTTAGATAAAAATTTGATTCTAGATGAATTAGCAAAATCTCAGAGAAAAGTAGATCTCTCTTTTTAAATTCAAATCAAAAAATAGCAATAAAATTTTATTAGTTTTAATATATAATCAATTTTTTTGGAAAAAAAAGTATTATTTATAAGATAATATCATCATATTTTTTTATATATCATTATTTGCATAATAATTACACATATTTTATATAAAAAAAATTACTTTTTTTTTAAATAGAGTCTTTATACATTATAATTTTTAATATTAAAATCTGTATTATATAAAATATCAACATTTTGAAAATATTTTAATTAATATATATATATATATGATTAAATAAAGGAATGTAAAATATATAATAAAATGCCCTAAAATTTTGTTATATGAAAATATAAAACAATTTTAACAAATCCAAAAATATAAGCAATTAAGTGTTCAAAAAAAATGGGAGATTTGGGGGGCGAAGCCCCCACCCAAATTTTTGAACCCCCCCCCCCCCTCTATGATAAAATCCTGGCTACGCCACTGCAGTACAAGCTACCATTTTGATTTTCTTTCATTAAATTTGGTTATTAACTTTGTTTTAAATATATTTGAGTATTATTTTCTGTAAAATTGGGCCTATTTCCTTTTATTGCTTGAAATTAATATATAATATTAATGTTAAATAAAAATTATGGACACAAAAATATTAATATATCAAGGTGAAATACAAAAAGTATTTTTTTTTATACAAATGAAAATAATTCTAATATGAAAATACAATATATACATGATCTAAACAAAGATATAAAAAAGATAATATATTAGATAGCCAGTGATGTGACTGACACCCTCGTTTTGTTTGATAAGTCTATGCGGACTGATTCATCTCCACCTTGATTTCTGTATTTAGACCTACTCATGTGGATCAAATAATTTTTATTCACTTTTGTGAGATGATGGTATGATAGCTGGTATTGAAAATAAGAAAATAATTGTGCTTAACACGCTGGTCATAACGGCAAAATTATGCAACTTTATTATATTATTTCTTCTCACTTGATCTTGGCTTAAATTCGAATTTAAAATTGTACTCGAACTACCTCTATTGGCATATACCTTTGTTCCGTTATATTTATCTTTTTTATAAATCAAGTATGAAGTCTGTAAGTTAAAGATCATTATGAATATGCAAGGTATCCTGATAGCCGTCGTAGTGGCTTACGTATAATACATGCTAAAGAATGGTTTCAATTTCTTGTTCGTCAGAATAAAATACTTTTTTTCTGAAACATGTTGGCTAGTTTCAACGAGATAAATACTCTTGTTGAAAAGGAAAGGTTTATATGTTATAAGTGATACTACTATTAAGAATAGCATTATTAGCCAATCCAAGTTGGATTCTTTGTATATAAATTGTAAAAACTAAGAAATTTAATTTCGATAAAGCATCTTATCGACATCGCACTTTAAAAATAATATTCTCAGTTTTAACAATTTTTTAAATAGAGCACTCCAATTCTAGACAGATGTTAATTTATAAACTCTAATATTATTATACATTTTATAAAGAACTTCACATGAAGACGTTTTAACACAGCATTGACCCCAGTATTAAACATATGTTACACAACTAAAGAAAATAAAGGACACCGCTTACACTAACTAGAAAATATTAAAAAAAATATTATAAAATATCTATTTGATCATTAACCAGTAAATGGAAAGGTATCAAACTATCCGCCTTTTTTATTCCTCGACAAAAAGACACTCGTTTTCTTAAGACAAATATCGATTCATAAAATAGCGAAAATGTGAATATTCACAAATATGTTCAGAAAAAAAAATATATACAGGAAATAGCTGTATGATTCCAACCATAGTAGATTAAAAAGTATCTGAAATACATACAACTTGAAATAAAAGTAACGAATCATTTTATATATTTATTGTTTTTGTTTTCAAACACAGAAGAAGGGTGACTTTTAATATTAGTCAATTTAGATAAATTATATTACAAACTACTTCCTGCTTATCAAGAGACGATACCTAAAAGTTAGAAAGAAAGAAAGAAAGAGACCTATACATATCAACTATCAATATAATATTTCAATAAAAAAAACTAAACTTAAAGAGGCCAAATATTCTCACATAAAGTGGATAAATAATTTTTATAATAAAGTATAAAATATTAAAAATGACAAACTACTTCCTGTCTAACACGCCATCATATGTAAACCTTAATTACAGATCAATAAATATTAAAATAATAATATATACATAATTTGAAGAAGACACAGATTTTAACGAAGAAGACGAATATTCATTTAAAATACCAATGTTTCTAGTGGAGTACTACTTAACAACCCTCAGACACCCGAGAGGTACTCAAGTTCCACCAAATCCTAAAAGGTGCTAATCGAAACTCTTATAATTTATCTAAACTAGTTTAAACCACATTTATTTTATGAGTTAATTCGCAAAATATATGCAAGTTAATTAAGTTTTTAAGAGATATTTATATTATATTTTAAAAACAAATTCAATAAACAAGATTTTTACTAATTTTATAATCCTGATTCAAATCTTAAATGAACGTTTTAATGATCTCTGAATATGAAAAAAATATTTCTCCCCTAAACTCTAACCAACATTATATATATTTCGTTTTGGATCACTAATTTTTAAGGCAAAATTAATTTTTTTTTTTATTAAGTAAAATATTTGTTAGCGATTAACTGCGCTCCAAAAAACAAATATTATTATTAACAATAAATGTAAAATTCTATAGTGTAACACATCCATATTTAAATGTTTTTGTTAAAATTTTTCCAGAAAAATTTTCCATTTTTATGAGAAAAGTATTCGAAACATATATTAAACAGACATCCTTTGAGCCTTTTCCTTTTAACGTTTGGGTAATCTGTAGGCTTCCCTAATTCTGGTTTGGGACCATGAGAAATTGTTAATTCTTCATTCTAAATTTATAAATAAATCAAGAAATTATATGTGGCCTTAAAATAATTTAAGAAATGCTTGTTTCTAGTGTGTATATATATATATTTATTAATAAATCTCATTTTGAATATAGAAACTATATGCAATATTTATAATATAACAACAATCTGTACGCGATATCTAGAACTTTTTCTGTTTATCACGAGGGTAGTAATCAGACCTCAACGTGAGAACCTACAGTTTATTCATTAGAA